TTGTTGTTGTTGTTGTTTTTCCACGAGACCAATGATTAAAGCGAAATGTCTTTAAATTTAAAAAAATATATATAAAAAATTATAATACATATATTTTATTATACTGTATGTTATAATGAAACAAATTAATAATTTAGTTAGTAATAGTTAATTCATTATATAATACCACCTAATACTCGAAATATACAAAGCTCATTCCAAAATACTGGCCCGCCTGCATCATGGTGGTTAAAGGATCAGGATTGGAACTGGAGGATTGTTTGTGGTGTGTTGAGCAAGAATCAAATCCTCTACTTCTTGAGGGCAATTAAAATAAAAAAAAAACAAACAAAACAAAACAGTGCATTCATTGGAGTTAATCACTGCACTGTTGGGATTTGTAGAGTGCTGGAAAATGGAAAAAAAAATAAAAAAAATAATGGCATGTAACACATATAAAACACCAGCAGAAAGTGATTCTACTCGAGCTCATTTAAAAATGTCAAAATCAAATCCAAAAGAACAGATCGGATTTAGGAGGCGTTACTTCTACTCAAACAGAGAAAATTCCGATACGATCGACACGTTGTTTTCCATGCCTTCTAGGCCTTCTAGGCATTTCCATCACCGGTCGACTTGTATGTTTGTTAGTATAAAACAAACAGTTCCTCCAACGCATTGCCGCCACTAGGTGAACAGCAGCAACTTCCTACAAATTCCTGTTGTCGTTGGCTGTTGGCCGTTGTTTGTTTGTTCAACCTTGGCCCTCATTACTACTGCCTCCGACATACTCTCAATCTCAGTACTTCTCAAATAGTAAGGGGGGGGGGGGGCGGTCAGGTGTGTACCACTGCTGTAATGTATGGATGAAAACAAGCCTCCAGTCACTAGGTGGCAGCATCTCATACGGGTGGTTTGTACAGATAAAAAAATACAAGGTTTGGTTCTCAATACTGTTTCAATTCACGGTGTAGGTCAGGGGAGACACAGCGGGGGGCGTGAACATTTCTGTCCCCAAGGGGGGGGGGCATGAGAGAAAATAATTAAGAACCACTGCTCTATCTGAATGAATGAATACAAAAGGTCGGTCTGCATATCCAACTCACTGTCCATACTGCACAACATGGACGCCCCGTGTGTTGCACTGTAGTAGTAGTGGTTGTATAAGCGTCTCGCTAATGAACAGAGCGACCGGTCTGAGAGCACTAATGCAATTATGCAACACAAGCCCTGGCCCACGAGGCTCTGGGGCTGTGATTGTAGATGAACAAATAGGATGTGACAATTTGTGGGAGGGGGGATTGTTTTCCTGCTACATTTTTTTGAAAAAACAAAAACCAAAACAAGCTGCATTCATTCAAATCAGCTCTGAAAAAAAAAAATTCAGACAACAAATAAAATGAGAAATGTAGAAATTCCCGAAAAATATTATATGGTACGTAGAGTGGCACATATTGTTGCTAATTCTGATTTTGGTAAGTGTGAGTTGTAAATAAAATGAATGAATACATTTGTACTATATTGATCCCATATCTGGGAAATTGTTGTGTTAGCAAGCACCTAGCATGTGGTTCCTTTGGGAATTCAACCCAGGACTCTCTGCTTCTGAGGCTATGGAACGGTCTTCTGACTTGCATATTGATTTTTGGCCACTTCAAATTTTTTTCAATTGGCAGCATTCACAAATAATAGAAGGTGTTCCGCAGCCCAGAATTTATATTTTCATCACAAGTAATTATGAAACATTACTCACAAACTGCACTCACTCCTCAGTGAAAGAATTTATAAAAATAAATTTAAAACAAAAAATATATACTATATATGTATATATGTGTATATATGTATATATATATGTATGTATATGTATATATATATATATATATACAAAATATATACTATATATGTATATATGTGTATATATATATATATATATATATATATATATAGCAGAAATTATCAAGACAATATGTGTGTTTGTGAGTTAAGGGGTATTTAAAGTTAGTGCATATGCGTCGGGAAGAAGGAAGAAACGCCGTCGTTACAGAGTGTGTGGTTTGTGGTGCACCTTTTCAGAATACGAACGCTGCTAGAAAAACTAGAGGCCGTTTATTTCCCCCTGCGGTGCTGTCGAATGGAGCACCGCAACGGGTTAACCCGAGCTAAGAAGCGATCAATAGGTTCACCAATAATGTAAAAAAAAAAAAAAAAAAAATCGACAGTATTGACAAGACACAGAGACCAATAGTGGCATGTCAGTGTTATGTCATCCGTCTCTCTAATGTCATCTGGGGACAAACGCTATCAGAGGTAAACGAGACCTGGAGAGCGACTTTATCTGCTCTCCTCCAGATTAGTCTAAGTGCATGGAGACCTGTTATGGACGGTCAGGAATACTACAGAGCTAAAAGCTCAGGATGTATGGAAAACGGAGGCAAAAAAAAGATGACGATGCGATTTATTCACAGCTTCATCTTTTCTCGCATCGCTGCACAAAAGTGAACTTTCGTTTTCAGCAGTGTTGGTTCATTCGCTTTCCCAGGATCTTATTAAGGCAATGAATTAAAAAGACACTAACTACAGGAACCAGTATGAAAGGGGGGGGGAAAAAATGTTACCCTGAGGCTAATTAACGCTGCTGTTTATAGAACAAGGAAATGGAGTGTCGGTGGAGGACTCGTGATAATCGCAAAAGATTTAACACCTAGGGCACAAGACGTCGACTGTATGACGTCGATTGGAGAAGGCTTCTTAAAAGAAATCGTTCGCACATTTCGGGAGGTGTACTAGCAGATCAAAACGGCCACAGACTGTGACTGAGATTCCATTCCCCCCCACTCATAGTCTGGATTCCACAGGTACCAGCGTTAAGAGTCTAGGATGAAGATAAGAGGAACTTGACTAGCGGTACTGCTATATTTAATGCCATTAGGGCAGGGTGGGTTTTTTTTTTTTTTTTAACCCTCTAAGGTTGTCCTGAGGACAGTAGGGGGCAGGTGTGGGCAAACTTTTTGACTCGTGGGCCACAATTGGTTCTAAAATTTGAAATCTTACTTTCGTTTTCAGGGCAACGTTTCCCCTGAGGAGAAGCATTTTCCATTCATTAAAATGCTTTAGAGGGCAGGGTAATGACAGAGAAGAATGAAATTGACAAAACATTATCATTTGTTGGAATGGTCCATTGAACTGTTCTAAGGCAGTTCAATTACACCAGTCATCTCTAATGTGTCTAATTTAAAGACCAAAGTTCTCAGAGAGGCATTTACCAAAGTTCTCAGAGAATCTGATGGTTGTCGTTCTAAGTCAGTAATTCATGTCCATCTAAGCCAGGCGTGGGCAAACGTTTTGACTCGTGGGCCACAATTGGTCCTAAAATTGAACAGGGGGGCCGATAGATGGAGCGTTCGTGTGAATTAGGATAAATGACGTGTAAAAGTCATGCATAAAGGATAAAATGCTAAATGCTTTTCTACCTTCTCTACGTCATCTATAGGGGGCATTGCAAGAGTAAAGACAGAAGTATAATCACAATACAAACCAATTATATAATTTGGACAAGTTTGGCGGGCCGGATTACAAAGCTGAATGGGCCGCATCCGGCCCCCGGGCCTTAGTTTGTCCATGCCTGGTATAGGGGATCACTACAGTATATCACTATAATAACACTGTCACGCATGTCTCCGGTGCAGGTTTATATGTTTTATGATACTTTTAAATGATGACTGCAGACTGTGTGGCCTGCGAGTCGGATTATGAAATAAAAATCTGACACCATCTTGTGGATTTGAGCTGATAGCGATGCGCAGTGTCACGTGTTTTTCCACAGAGACCGCAACGACAAACCTACTCCCATTGATTGAATTGTTAATTTTGAGTCCGAGCTAAGAGTAATAAACCTAACTATGGCTTTATAACTTAAATAGACGGATAAAAATGTATTTTAAATGTTTGATAAGTTCAAAAAAATGTCTATTATATTAAATTTTTTTAATATACATATACATACTATATGCTACTGTAACTGATGCAATGTCTTTTCCACTGTCGTCTTTTGACTTAAATCAAGAGTTGACTTGAATTAAGTTAACTTGATAGTCAGGCTAGATTACTTCACGAAAACTGGAATTCTGGAATTCCACATCGCAATTCCCATTTCAAATATTCCTAGCATTTTTAAACATATAAACAAGATAGAAAGTTGGAATCACAAAGTCACGATATCAAGCAAATGGTACTTTTCAAATTGTTTTTCCTTCAATCAGCGGACGGTTTTCAGACACGCACATCTCCGGAGATGAGAAAATGTGTATTTAAACATCACAAGGTTTTAAACTGACTCGCGTTTGCAGATAAGGAAGTTCCAACTCATATCTGTTCCACATATTTTTCTATCTCTCACACCAAAACATTTCAAAGAGCGTTACTGCTCCGACATTTGTCTGAGAAAGTGTGTTCTTTAGATCTGGGGTAAAGGGAACTAAGTGAAGCATGCCATGACCCCAGGCTGGGAGCCTCCCCTCACTGTGGACCCAGGGGGGTCAAGGTGACATTCCACAACACCTCCGAGACTGGACTAATGGAGGGACTGGTACACGAAGGCTTTTGTTAAACACAAAATCGAGAGCATAGAAATGGGGCGTAACAAGAGATGTTGGTGTGAAAAAAAAAAAAAAAAAAAAATGACAGAGAGCAGAAAATTATGGGTCAAATCTCAGGGAAAACAAATTAGACGGGAAAGGAAAGGAAAGCAGGATTTGGGGGGCTTGGAATCAAACTTTTTGGCACTCTAGGATGTAATTAAAAAAAATGAAATCAGATAGAAAAAAAAATCAACAAAATTCATGTATTAAGTTATTTGCTCAGGGAAAATGAGCGAGGCACAAAAATACTTTTTTTTTTTTATCTTATGCCCTCCTCGGTACAGTATCGTCCGTTTCCTCTTTCCTTCTCCCATCCTTTTTCCTTTTCCTAAACTCGAAGTGCAGGTGCAGCGGTGCATCAAGCAGTGAAAATTCAACTCTTACCGTCATAAAAATGTAACACTCCGTTACAACACCGTGGAGGCAGGTGAACAGGTGAGTGCCGTGTCAGCGTGTCTGCACCCTCCCTCCCTCTCTCTCTCTCTGCTCGGGGGTATTTCTCTCCTCCCGCTCAGGCCGTATCCCGTGTGATGCCTGGGAAGCACAGAGACAACAGAATGAGGAGAAAGTCGGAGAGTCGGGGAATGAGAGCGGGAGGAAGGGAGGGAGTGACAGGGAACGAGAGTTCCCTGTTTGGGTGAAGCTGTGATCAGATACAGCTATTTTCAGACACAGGCATGCTCGTCTATGAGACTGGAAAGTTAACCCCCCCGCCCCAGTGTAAGTGGGTGGGGGCTAAAGTGACAGGGCTGACTATCTCTGTTTTACCACACACACACACACATACACATTTGCATGCGTAACCACATGGTATGCACACCCATGCACGCAAAAGTCAGGCTATTTCTATACGAGAACGTCTCACTGTGCTAACAACAACAGTCGCGTACGTGTTGTAGCCCAGCAGGTGAAAGAGAAAATAATGGACACGGAGACGCCGCTCTCCTCTGTACTTCTCTCATCTCTCCTCGCGGGCCTTAATGTCAAACAGTAGTCCATGTCGTCAGCGTGTTGCTATGTAAAGTAGACAACTCTACACGGAAACGGAGCCAGTGTCAGATTCCTCTCACACGAGATTTTCTTTCACTTTCTATCGCCCCCGGGGGCCTTTGTTCACCTGTCAAGAAGTGTCGACGAGTGGCCGAATAAACGAAGCGCAGCCTCGATGAATAAAAGTCCCGAGCATGTGTAAACACAAACCGTATTTACGGAGCGAGCCTCCGAACATATAAACAAATTGTATTTCAGCTCGCCCACGTCATTTTTGATTTTATTTTAATCTTACCGCTGTGTAATCCATTCGAATGTATATTTGGAGATGACCACACACAGACACACATGGAGCTGAATATACACAGGGGAGAGGTCACCCAGAAGCACCTCTAGACCCCAGACTCCCTGCTATTCCCAGAATGATGATGTAATGACTGCTATCAGAGTCTCCTATTTACAGACCGGATACCTGAAACCTGCCAGTGGGTAGCTACTGTGCAATATGCTATTTGGGAAACTTCCACCTCCTGACTTCATACCTGTGCTTCACACAATAAACAAAACAGCAGCAAAAGTCAGCATCTCACAATTGACCGCACAGTTGGCTGCTGCATAAAGAGTTCAGCAGCTAAAGCAAAAAAAAAAAAAAAAATAAAATAATATTTTGACTGCTCAACCATCCTGCCCACCCCTGGTGCCCACCAATGACAACAGTAGTGCTGGATTTGAAGGTGGAGAACACTGCAATAGAAAATGAAATTTAAAAAAGCAATGAAAATAGACCCAGTAGGTGGCAGTGAAGCACCATATACCAAACAGGCTGATGTTAAAAATAAAAGAGGAAGTTAGGGCTGCGGAGTAGCTTAGCTGAGCCTTGATGGCTTTTGTGTATCCAAATGGGCTAAAAAGTATTTATATTAAACAATACCGTCGTACACTCTACTCATGGAGCAGGTCTTTCACAATACCATAGTGTTCTAGCACCCTCTGCAGGGGAGGAGGAGAGGTGATTTGTCCATGGGTACTTTAGTTTTGACCGAAACAGGAAAAAACTGAACCTGAAAAACAACAAATCCAGTTTAGCTACATAACTTTGTTTTTCATAGTGTAGTATTTATTTAAAAGTATTTTAGGACATACAATGTTTAATTGTTCCCCACAACAGAATTGTATAGAAAAACCTAAAAAAAAGCCCATATGTAAAACAGTAATATACAAGTTTAATTTTTCCCCACAACAGAATTGTATAGAATGGATAGAAAAACCTAAAAAAAAAAGCCCATATGTAAAACAGTAAAATATTGATTGCATGAGTAGATCATGATTGTGTTTTCTAAAATAAATTAATGTTCAAAGTTAAACACTCACACTTTTTCAAGGTCTGCAAACAAGTGTCAACCAAGCTTTAAATCATGCCTTGACGAACCGGGGCGAGGCGTCCTGGGTCAACATTATCTGTGACTGCTTTCATCAGTCCGCTGATGAAGTGGTAATGTAAAAAAACTCATCTACACAGGCTACTTCCATGATTGGTGTGTCAGCAGTCACGATCAAATAGCAGCCGGGCCCCCAGAATTTTCTGGTCACGTGCCAAGGCTCAGTGAGGTATGGTGAAAAGCTGACAAGTGACAGGTGCTAATGATGAAACCTTAGGGACAAAATCAGGAAAGTACCAGGGGACCAATGGAATACTGAAGAGCCTGAGATCAAAGATCACATTTTGATCCAGACATTATCCCTCATTTAGTCCTCTAAAGATCACCAAACAACCGCAGAAATGTCACCGAAGAGGCATGTCATTTGAATCAAATATGTATTAAAGAAAAATAATTACAACTCTAACCACGGCGCAACAGCTCAGGAACGCTCTCATTTAAGTACCAGCACAAACTATTTTTATAGCGAGCGACACACACTCCAATCCAAACACACTGACACTTTGACCCCTGAGCCACTCAGGACTACAGCGTCGAAATGGTCTCACCCCAACAGTTTCAACACCTAATTCATTATCAGCTACTGCAAGGCCCTGCCATTTCCAGCTAAGTAAGTGGTGGGATATAAAAAGCAGAGGGACAGTGTATACCCATTAGAATGTGTGGCAAAAAAAAAAAAAAAAAAAAAAAAAAACCACAACTCGTATTTGTACCAGGATCCTGGATGCAGCAATGCAACAATTGATCTCATTGGTAATAAATTTCCAAAATAAATCTCAGATTCACATTTGATTTTACTTGTATGAATAAACCTCAAACTTCTAAAGCCTTTAATCAATTGGAAATTGCCATTTTCATACCTATATAAGCACATTTGAAAAATGTACCGCAATCTCAATCATTTTCTTTATAGCCATATAGAGTTTTTCACTACGCCTCCTCCCCTGCAGGGGGTGTCAGTGTTTATTTAGAAATATAACAACAGGTAGCTCAGATAGGCACACTTCAACCTAGAAGTCCGGATCACATAAATAACAGCGTTACAGCAGTTGAAACCCATCAGTACATGTGGTAAGCTAGGTCATCTTGAATTACCACGAGCGAACAAGCAGTGTATATATTTCACTTTGTTCCGCATCGTTTCATTTGGCTCGTACTTTAGTAAACTTGTCAAGTAATCCACATAGTCATAAAGCCGTACTGTAGGTTTTTTTATGTCTGCTAAAACAATCAAGTGTGAAGTAACCATCGGCAGTAAACATGCCCTGTACGCAGCACAACTCTCCAGGAGAATTACGCAAATGTTTCACACACCACTGGAGCCACAACTTTAACCCCTGAACACGACAGGGGGTTGGGGGTGTTGGGTGACAATAAGGGGGGGGGACAAAAAAAACACAAAGGGTGCACCAAATGAAGGAAACAAAAGCAAACAGAAATTCAAAAGCCATGTGCAGGAGAGAAGAAGAAAAAAAAAAACAGACAAAGGCAAAACAAAGTTTAACCTTAAGCTCATTTAGAATTCTGTAAAAGACATTGTTTCACATTGTCTCTGATAACGGTCTCGAATCTCTCCCTCCAAACACAAACTCTTCACTATTTCTGCATCCAAAACAGAGCAGATGAAAGCCAGCGAGACACATTTTCTTAGCTCACTTGCCATCACGCAGAACCAGATGTCATAACTAAGTGTATTGCGTGTGCATATTTTAAACCTCTATCTGAAGCTGTTTATTGCAGCACGGGTCTCTCGTGAGACAGATGGCGGCCAACTGTTGCCTACCATAGTGTATAATCTGTGTCCCAAGACAACCAGTGTTGAGGAAAAAAAAAAAAAAAAAAAAAAAACCTGACATCAACAACACTACATTAAAACCACAGAAATGTAGAGTCACTGCGTGTGTAAACCCACGGACACACACACAATACTACAGAGCAACAGAACAGGTAGGCCAGTGGGAGTGGTAGGATGTTCCCGGAGTGATTGTGTTACACTTTATACATCTGATATGTCTCCCTTTACTCTCCCTGTTCACCCAGCATTGAAACAATACCCACTCATATTGCTTATGGCATTTCCTTTATATATGTATAGACAAAAATTCATGATGACAAGTGTTTGCAACAAACATCAGCAGAGATGAGGATCAAACTGAGGCTATATATTGATTTTTTTTTCCCCCCAGTTCCCTGAGGTAAAAGAGGGTTTCACTCACAGTACAACTGTGTTATAAGAAGTATTGATATTATAAAATATCAAATAACTCCTAAGACCTGTTCTCCTAACATTATATTACAGCTGATTACAATAAGCACACCGGGTAACTAATTCTCATCATTCTTCTACTGAGATACTGCTGCAGTGACTCACTATACAGATGATCCCAGGCATCATGAATGCAGCATGAACATGGATGTTGCTGCAGGTCGATGGCAATAACGGACAATCTGTCGTTCCCTTAGTGTTTGGAACGTGAACCACTCATTTTTCTTTTTTTCATTTTTCACTACCACTAATGTGTAAAAAGAAAAAGAAAAAAAAACCCCGTGGTTTAGCATTTAACATTCCCCGGGTCTTGGCTGCATCTCACTGGGAACAGCAGCAAGCAATCCACTGGAATGTACTTCCAGGGAAGCTGGGCTGAACCAAACACCCGCATCCTGTACGGGATGATTCATTCGATCTGGTCTCGGAGACTAGAACGTCTGCTGCACAAAACACTCAAAATTAAAACCCTAAAAATAACAGAGTTAAGTATGTTGGTTTAAATGTGTCAAAGACGGTGCTGCAAGGCGGAGGGACACATTGATCCTTGGGTGGCACTACAACAACATAGCAAAAACCGAGTGTACATACCTTTCAAAAACGACTCAACTCCGGCTTTATTCGGCTATTTCCGAATCATGCTTCTACCCGGGTTATCTCTTCAGCAAAATAACTTAAAAACAAACGCACGAAACAACAGCTCCACCAGCAGCTCGTCAGCTAGTGTGGTGTGGGTCTGTGTGATGAAACCGTACACCTGTTTCCCAGCGCGCATGGATGTTGCCGGCGGCGCTTCAGGAAGTCACCGCTGGGGTTCGCACTGCTGCAGTCCGGTCCAGTCCAGTCCTGCTGCCCTGACGACCATAAAACACCCCCTACAGGGACTGAAAGAAGTGGCAGCACAGTGAAGTTAAAGCCTGTCCCGCACTTGTTTGTCCTCTTCAGACAGTCATAGCACCCAGAACTAGAAAACCGATTCTGGAAACGAGTTTTTTTTTAAATATAAAGGGAAAGAACCGGTATCCAGTTTCTTTTTTTTATTTTAACATCCGGTCGCTTAGGGAGCAAAATGGTGGCGTCTTGTTAGTTTGATTCAGCAGCGCTGAACGTCAGCTGCTTAGTGATTGGCTCCTCCTGTAGCCACGGCAACAGTCGCTGTTCAATCAGTGCGACTGAAAGGCACGCGCACGCATTGTGCGCGCGCCCCCCCCCCCCAACACACGCGGGAATGTACCGCGCAGAAGGGGG